GGAACATAGAAGATGCCAGACAAGCTGGCGATATGTGCAGAGGGTGAATACAAACCTTCAGCTTGAGAACAAAGGTAACAAAAAAGTCAGGTTATTTCAAAATCAAACTTCTGTGACTAATTTGAAAACCTGACATTTAGGCCACCACAATCCAGTCAGCTGGAGATACAACTCTATGAAACATATTTCTGTTCTGTACTTTATCAGACATTTATATCCTGAAATATTTACCTAACTATTTAAAGAGCAAAGCCAACCCACCTGCATTGCAAAGTCAGTAGTTATACAAGCCACTGTCACTGCTTTGTCTTCTGTCAGTCCAAAGTCCATTTGCATTTTAGCTTGATGTAAATTTTCCGGAGTTATCCAATCTGATTCGTCATCATCTTCATCTTCACTCTCCTCTTTGTCTTCATATTCCTCATCTGACACGGGTGACAGTACATCGGTAACATTGAGTTTTGAAAGGTCTTCAACAAGAGACTTCTCATCATCCTCACTACCATCAGAATCAATTTCTTCACAAATGGCATCATTACTTTCTTGTAGGTTTGATGATTCTTCAGTTGATCCACTGTCAACATTTTCAACCTGGTTTTCTGGCTTCTCAAAATCAACTATTTCTATTTCTGTTCTTTCATCACCTTCCTTTATAAGAGTTGAACTGTCATCTTCATTCACCTCATTGTCTGCTGATGATTCTTTCACTGTTCCCTAAAAAACATTTCTTAACTGTGAAATCCCTAAAAGGCCCTAATGTTCAGAAATAAATCTAAGAAAGTTTAGAATTAGAATACATTAAAATGAACAATTGAGATTAAAATGCACAAATATGAAGGCTTTCTATATCCACTGTCTTTAAGGAATGAATTACCTCCACTTACTTTTCATGTTCACCGTGCAGTACAAAGAAGGCATATCCACAACCATGCCAGGATACAAACTTTCCGGATGTACTTCAAATAGCAGTTTTAGCAATGGAAAACTTTTTCATAACTCTTTGAAGGCAAACAAATAATCATCTAGATCTTATTCTTATAATACTGCTCAAATATGTTTATTTTTAAAAGCAGACTACCTTGTAAAAGCCGGCTGGATCAGGAGCCGACAGTTTAGGCCGGTCAAAAGTGACAATCCTATTTGTGACCGGAGCTGTTTTCAAGTGGTCAACACCGACATGTTCTTTTTCCAACTGATATGCGAGCGCCATCAACTTGATGTCCGTGGCCGACAAAGACATGTAATCTCCCGTCTTCTTTGAAAACTCTGTAACTGATTAGGCTTATAATTACGCATCTCATCAAAAACTTTTTGTTCCCTAACTTGAAATTTATATCCAACATGATAAATCATGCTTTATTTAAGACAATAAAGTTCCTATTTCACAAAATGTACGCCTACCAAGAAATCGTTTAAACAAGTTTAGATTACAATAGGAAGAAAATGCTTCTTGAGAAATTTTGTTTTGTTGACAGACTTAAACTTTCTCAGCTACAGTCGGGCCTACATGTAAATTTTAAGATTTCATTAGGCCTATAAAGTTAAAAATGTTGTTCACATTGTCAAAAAATTAGATCTGAAATTTGATCACCCAACTAACTTAACATTGATTATGTTGACTGATAGAAAAACTAAATTAATTTATTTTCTTTATTCATTTCAAAATCTAATAATGTATGAGGATGTGACTTTGCAATGATATATTTATATAATTTTCAAACAGTTATTTTGTTGAATCTGCAGGCCTAATAATTTAGGTTACAGCTACGGTATGTTAGCCCATTTATAATTTAGTTATTACTGTCGTAGTTTTTTTTCTTTTCTGTTATTTATCTGAATACTATTTATTGTAAATTGGTGTTTGTTCTGAAGATAAAATAGACTAACTTGAATGTTTACGTACTGAAATTGACTTAAAACAATTCCTATAAATTGACTTGAAATCAACCACTGACAATAGACTTACTGAAAGAAACGCTCTCAGGGAACACATTCATTATCTTCAAATCATATGGTATGACCACCAATCTTCTGAGCTGCCTCTTTGATGTAATTTCATTCACCACTTCTTGTATTGTAACAATGTTCTGTCCCATCTCCTACAACACAATGGTTTGGTTTTAATTCAACCGATAACACTTAATTGCAGCAACAACAAAAAAGTCACTCATAGCCTAGTGGATTTAAAGGGTTTTATAAAAGCTGAACCAAACAGTAAATATGTTACGTTAACTTTAGTTCGCAAATAAAACCTAGTTAACTTATTAGCATGGAAAGCCTGTACCTATGTCAGGTTTGCTAGCAGAAGATCAAAAAGGTTTTGATGGAAAACAAAATTGCCTTGAGATGAAAAACTGACTTATTTATGTATTTTGGCAAAAGCTTTATATCCAACTCTGATTATTTAACGATTGCTACAATTGGTATAGAAGTATGGGTTTTTAATAAGATTAATAGCCAGCATATTTGATTTTATTTAATAGCCCCCCACGATTGAGTTAAATATCAAAGTTTCACTTGTACTTTTTCTAATTAAAGTTAACTTATCATAAAAACTTTAAAGGAGTAATCTTTTGGTATATGGAGGCCACCCTTATACAGCGCGCTGCGGCTGGTAGGCTATGTTAGGTCGGGTTATTATAAATAGAAAGTCTGACTCGTGGTACTGTTCGATTCTTAACAAAACGAGGGCTGCACTTTACTTTAGGTCCTACACTCATTCGAATGAAAATATCGATCGATATATCGATTATTTGATAAGTTATATCGTTTGGCTAGTTAGGTAAGGTTAACCTAACCTAACTAACCAAACGATATATCGAATGAAACAATCGAATAATTGATATTTTCATTCAAATGAGTGTAGGACCTAAAGTAAAGTGCAGCCGAAACGAGGACATTCCAACAAAAAAAATTATGACAACCCAACCTAAATAACAGTACCCATGTTTTACAGCACGCTGTAAAATATGTGGCCTCCGTACCAAAGTACCCTTATCAGGAGACGTCTGGAGGTTCTTGAGATAAAGCAAACTAATACCAGTGGCAGGCCTGCAGTTTGTAAATGAGGGGATTGTTTCTCTTCCTTGCGCCTAAACCTAAAACCTCTAGTGCCCCTAGTAATAGCGGCACTGACTAGTAACATCCGCATTATGTATCTAGGATAAATTAAAAACTGAATATGCTAACCACTAGGCTACCAATTTTGGAATATTCATGCAAGTAATGTATGTATCTTTTTAGTGTATCTATAATGACACATTGTATGTTTGTAAAATTAGGTTACCTGTAGTGGAGCATTCCGAATGAAAGCAGTTGTATCAACAACTAAATACTCGGGTTTATTGGCCATTTCCTATGTTGAAAATGAATTCAAAGTAAAGGTAAAACAATACAAACTACATCTAAGAAAATTTAAACGCAAAAAGACTGCTAATAATTAACCAGAAACTATAAATACTATAACGAACACAGGAAAACACGTGTGTTTCTGTTTCTGCTAAGACACTACGACGAAGACGAACAGACGAACACGATTTGACAATTTGACAGACATAACTTAAAAAAAATAACAAAAAGACAAGACAAATATGAAAAAAATCCCCGTTAGAGAATATAGTTACCGTTGATTATTAATACTGAAAGACTGATGGACAAACATTAATTAATTCTTCTTGTTGTCTTAACAGTCTGTCAAATAAAATTGATAAGGTGTAGGGTTATTGTACATGTAATATATATTTATATTAACTCTCCAATTAAGATACCCTCTTTGTTGGCATCATGAATACAATACAGTACTATGCAAGATAAATTTAAGCTATTTAATACAATAGTTATTCCTACATTTGGCTGGAGTCCCCTATCACTATGCTACCCCACTGAGCACAACCCCTCATTTATGTTATCTATGGTACATTTTGCAGATTATTATGCACAATGTCACGAAATATGAATTAGGCGTGAGATTACGCACTATGGCCCGTTTTATCGAATTTTCCTATAGGGAAATAGCTATTACCGTAGATGGCACGGTAAGACCATAGGTAAAATATACTCCTCAACGGCTTAGTCCATATTTTACCTTGAGGAGCATGTTTTATCTATGGTTTTACTGAATTGCTCTTGATTTTGTAAACATTAATTAATTGGTGTCATAATATCAAATTAGATTTCAAATCAATAAATAATCCTCCTGCAAGTTGGAAAAAGCCGTCACGAAATATCTGCTTGCACCAGCATCATTTAAGTATGCATATAATTAAAAATGTTTTAGTTACATCTTAACTATTATCAAAATTAAAGCTTAAAACTTTCAATAAGCTATTCTATCGTTCACCAGTTCGCCTACATATTTCAAACTAAGAGAACAAGTATTAATTTTGTTAAAGTACAAAGTACAAACACAAACTTCCCAGTGCGGTTCCTTGACTCCACCTCGCTGTAGCCACGGCCGCCTTTAACTCCAGGCCGCGGCCTTCGAAGTGGCAACGTCGCAAGTGGTGTTGTAACAGCTGTTTTGTTTGGAAAACGACAGATTGGTTACTGGACTATGACAATATTGAATCCGCTTAAAAATGTACAGATATATATTTTTAATAATTCATATTGTTTCGGTTATGTTCATAAATTTAAATTTAAATCAATAAAATGCGAATTAATGAGCTGATGTCACCTGTCTGCCATGTTATCTTATGGGACGTCTGTCACTAAACAACACCACTTGCGACGTTGCTAATTCTACCAGGCCACGGCCTGTAGCACAGCCGCCTCTAATACAATATCACCTCTAATACTCTAATATATTAGAGGTGGCTGTGCCTGTAGTTAAAGGTGACCGTGCTGTAGCTCTGTGTCGGTGTCAGATGGTGTCAGCGTGGACCGGTGACGCAAGTGAAGTGGTACCGCAAGTAGTGATGTCATAACGGAACCTGAAAAATCTCCCGTGTGCGGCACCGGACTACTAAGCACTGAGCAGACAAAAAACAACCAAACTGAAGTGAAATTGCCCTTGTTTGTAGGTTAGGTTAGTTTTAGTATTCGAAAGTAACATTAACATAAGTTGAAATTTGAATATATCTTTTGAAAGTGTTGATTAGCAGTTGAAGTTTACTGGTAGAGTATGTAAAAATGAATCGGGTTGTTGAGAAGGACGAAGAAAAATCCATTCAGGACATCAACTATGAAGATGCAATCACTTACTGGAACCATATACCCCCCACAGTTAATGGAATGCTTGGTGGTTTTGGATTTATATCCAGCACTGACCTTCAGGGCTCAGAAATGTTCCTTAAAAACTTATTTCAGGTTCGATAATTAATTAGATAGCCTATGTAGACATTATTTAGGCTTAAGTTGATCATGTTTCATTTAATAATAACAACTTACGTCAATCAATCCAGTATGTTTATGGAGGACGCACGTTTCGACCTTTAGGTCATCTTCTGCTCCGCTTTTACACTAGGTTGTTACGTACTTAGTTGCATTGTTGGTGTAGCAACCGCATCAAATAATTTACATTGTGAAACATAGTCAGACCACGTAAACATAAAAACACAAAACACGACACTGACGAAGACGAAAACATTTAAATACTATCACCGTGCGCACGGCTGAACGGGCTCGGGAGTGCCGCCGCAGTATTTTATTTTACTTTATTGACTTACTAGCTGTAACCCGCGGGCTTTGCCCCGTTTAACTTCTTAATTTTCAAGATTATCTCGTTCGCATGGCTCAATCACGTCCTGGTTGAAGTTTGTTCGCTACGCTCACTCACCTTTAGGTTGGAGCTCGTTCGCTACGCTCACTCACCTTTAGGTTGGAGCTCGTTCGCTGCGCTCACTTGCCTTCAGGTTAGCTCGTTCGCTACGCTAACTCGCCTCCAGGTTGAAGTTCGTTCGCTACGCTCACTCACCTTTTGGTTGCAAATTAGCTGTTGTCATAAATGTAAAAGAAATAATAGTGCTGCACCCTGTTGGTAATCCTTGTAACTTTAATGCTATTGAACATCATAGAACAGAACCAACTTGTTTAATTGAAACAGCTGTTAAGATTCAATAATTCCATTTCTCATAAGGTTAACATGGGAAACTCCAGAGCCACTGGGGCGGAGCCCGAAAGGATTTTTGAAATAAGAATATGCCTATATGTTAATCGGGAATGTGAGCTATCATCATGCCAAATTTCAGCCCAATCCGACCAGTATTTTTCGAGTTTACTTTTCCCATACACACATACAGCAACCACCTCTTTTTTATAATAGTATAGATAGATAGATAGGCCAATAGGCCTAGATACGACAAGACAAGTTGCTGGAAGAAAGTAGCTTACATTAGAAGTAAGTTAACTTAGACTCCCGAGTATCCACAATAACTTAATGAGTGACTGAGTGATCGTGGATGGATGCCAAACTAACCTAAATTGCCTGGGAGATACCGTAACTAACATTGACTTTAAATGCACATGAGTTAAGGTTTAATACATGTTTAGGTAATAAACTTAATAAAACATTTTAAAAGTACTACACGGTACTGTAATTGGCCTAAAATAATTAGGCTATTTCAGAAATAAAACACGCCCAAAATTTTAGATAATCAACTCTTGGGTTGTGCATCTTAGGCTAATCAGTGGTCACAGTGAAAATGGCAGCAGGGGTCAATCCATTTCAAATCATCCAGCAACAAATGAAAATGACACCCATGTGCTTAGATTCTAATGATTTTTTTCACGTGTTCCTTTTGCTACGGTATTCTAATTATGAATACCAAATTTCATTTTGATATCTTGAATACTTTAAGTTTAGTTATTGTTTTTGCGATCCTGGTTAATCTGCAGTTTGGTTAATACACTCAATGGACAATTAGGAGGTAATTATTCGGTATGGTGCCTCCAAAAGAATTTTTGGAGTCTATTGTAATTTTGCTTGTTGCCCTTACCACACAATCTTGCCTTTTCTATATGGGTACTTTTTCTTAGAAAGTAGGTGCTTAAGTGCAATTAGTAAGTTGCAAGTTAGCAACTTTCTGTCTACTTTTTCTATTTAAGTTAGCCTATAAGCAACTTTTTACGATTGGAGATCGAAAGTTAACTTTTGCAGGCATAGTAAAAAAACTTCTGCCCATTACCAACATTAAATGTGGCTTTGAAACACTAGATTACCTCTAAAATAGAGAAATCCCGTTGAGCCAGAACTTTGATATACAACTCTGTTGTAAAATCGTTTGAAATATTTACGAGTTATCAATTCTATTAATGGTCTAGGCTATATAACTTCATGAACGAATGAATGAATGAAAATAACTGAGAAACTGCAAGTATTACGTAAAATCTGTTTTTCATAACCAATAGACTTAATAACAATTTCTTTTTCAGTTAAAGAATCATCCTGATCATGGAACAGCAGTTGACTGTGGTGCAGGAATAGGAAGGATCACTAAACATTTGCTAATGCACCATTTTAAAAAGGTGGATTTAGTAGAACCAGTAAAACCCTTCATTGACGAAGCTCGCAATTATATCCAAAATGATGAGAAAATTGGAGTATATCACAACATTGGTAAGTAGAAAGAGTGATTAAGCTTTAAGTTTTGCTAGATTCAAATAGATAGAAAAATTCAAGCATATTTTAAATTAAAACCATTTTACAATTTTTTTTAATGTTTTAGTACAACTTACAGTAGACTCCCTCTTATCTGGACTCCTCGGGACCAAGGCCAGTCCGGATAACGGTTTTTCCGGTTAAACCGACGTCCCCTAAAACGCGTCAAAACGGACCGTTTACGGTGTTATTCGACTTAAATTTAGGAGAGCATTGTCACATTGAGACATGTGATCACTGGTCTCTGAAAATCTTTCCCACGAGAACAGTCGTTTCAGTAGGCTACCGCCCACTTCCTGCCAATTTAGTCCAGTTAAACCAATGCACTGATAAAAATTGTCCGGTTATAGAGATGTCATTTCCGTGGAGTGTAGTCCGGTTAAACCGATGTCCGGTTAAAAGGTGCCCGGATAAGGGGGAGTCTACTGTAATAAAGTTGATGCCTCTGAGATAGGAAAGATTTGGTACAGTCTACACGTTAATAAAACAAATCACTTTTATTTAACAGTACCGTAGGCCTACAAAAAAACAAACAACACAAATATAGCCTACCTAGATCTACCTACAATCTTCATAACTGTGACTCTCTATATAATTAGGTCTTCTTCTCTAAAACTTTAAACAGGTTGTGCCAGTACTTTGCCGAACTTAACCTTCCATATTGGCGAAAATCCGCTTGAATAGTAGTGGATGAAATAATTAAGGAACGCGATTTGGTCTCATATTTGAGCAAGCTTGCTTGGCTGCGACAGGAACTTAATGGAAATTCTAATCTATACACAACCATCGTATGAAAGATAATTTGTCCACCAGCTCTCATAGTTTAAATTTTCAGGCTTGCAAGATTTCAATCCTTGTGTGAAATACGATCTGATTTGGTGCCAGTGGGTTTTATCTCATCTAACCAACCAAGACCTTATCAAATTCTTTAAGACCTGCAGGTAATTTCATTATACTGTAGATAGTTAGGCAATTGATAAATCTGTTGTTAATTACAATTTTATGATTTGTAATAACAATTTTACACTTTAAAATGTGTTCTTAACTACTACTACTGATAAAGCTAATTACCTATTAATCAAGTTTTTTTATGATAGCCTACAAAAGATAAAAATTATAGTCATGTTATTATTAGAAGATTGTATTGAAGGGTTTTGATACATAAGAGCCTTTAAACAGTCAAGAGGGTTCTATCCGGTCAATTCAAGATGGTGGCTAAACATGCTAATGTTCCTGAACATGCGTCTAAGGTACAAGCTCACAACAATCTAAAACCAATTTGTTTCCAATGATTGTGTGCTTTTTGTGCTCCATATCAGAGCTTGCAGTGGGTGTAGCAAATAATTTTTAACTGTCATTTAGAAGTTAAAATCGCATGTAAAAAAGGCTAGTTTACGGATTTTCAAAATGATTTTGTAAATACTAAAAGAAACAATTACGAAGTTTCAGTTCAGCCAGTGCATGGTTTGGATCTTCGTGAATACGGTATTTTACAGTTCATTTATTACTCGATAAACACTTAAATAATGCCAGGAGGTTCTTTTTTATAGGACCATGTTTACGCGGTAAATAGCCTGCGGGTGGAACCCTCTTAACAGTTTTAATATTACTGACATAAGCTTTTTGAATTCATTCATGAATGCTTAGGTAAATGCTACATTTTATGTCTCTATTAAAGGCAACATAGTAACTCGTGCAGATTCAACCCCACAACATGGCACAGCATTAATCTAAACCATGTTATTCTTCTAGTTGAGAAAACTTTTCAAACATCAATTCATACATACTCATTGTGTAAAAGGATTAAGAGGATGGTTTATGTATAAGAGAAACTTTACCCTGTAAAATTCAAAATAATTGGTATAATTTATAATGTTTTTTGTAAAGAGACCATATTTATTTACTGTTTATTTTTTTAACAGAGACAGCTTGAATCCAAATGGTGTTATTGTGGTGAAGGAAAATCTATCATCTAACCAAGAAGGGGACATCGATGAGCAAGACTCTTCAAGGACAAGACACGAGAAAGAGCTTAAACAACTGTTCACTGATGGCGGACTGAAAGTTATCAAAGAAGCAGTTCAGAAAAAATTCCCAAAAGGACTATATTGTGTGAAAATGTTTGCACTCAGGCCAGACAGTTCAACAGTGCTTCAGACTTAGTGTACATTAAATTAGTTGTTTTTTTAAGTCTTCTTTTTCTTTACATCCCTAAATTATGTCTTACTAGCAGAGTACCCGTCCTTCGTACGGGGTTGGCAAATAAGTATAAAATGCTTATTGCAGTTATACCCGATGTTTGCGATGTGAGAAAACACGGTTTGAGAAAATTTGCTTTCTCAAATTTACGGTATGCGATAGTATTACACATCTACCATAGCCATAATGTTCTACTACTTCACCTACACAAAGATAGATTATAAAAAATTTGCAAAATATCATAAATTGTTCATGAAATTCAAAACATAAACATAACTGTAAACAATCCTACTTTGACAGTTCTCATTGTGTATCACAGTTTTTTGTTGCTGCTTAGTTCAAATAGCTGTTTTCATAAATAATGAAAAAAATAATAGTGCTGCTGCACCCTGTTGGTAAATCTTATAAATTTTTAATGCTTTTGCATATCATAGAACCAACTCTTTTAGTTGAAACAGCTGGCTAAATTCTTTAATTCCCTATTAAATATGAGTACTCATAAGGTTAACATGGGGAACTGCAGAGCCACTGGGGCGGAGCCCAAAAGGATTTTTGAAATAAGAATATGCCTATATGTTAATCGGGAATGTGAGCTATCATCATCATGCCAAATTTCAGCCCAATCCAACCAGTATTTTTCGTGTTTACTTGTCACAAACATCCGTACATCCAAACTTTCTCATTTATAATATTAGTAGGATGGACGATATTTTAAAATTTCAGTTACACTTTGTTGGAGCTATTTGTGATACTGTACCCTCTTTTCTGGCTGGGTCGTGTTTCCTGTAAAGCAGAGCAATTACAAGGTTGTTCTTGTGTCGACTGTTGAGAGTCTTGATGGAAGAGGAGTGAGAGTGGGGAAGGAAGGAGGGAGAGAACATTCTTGCAGTTGTGCAGGTTACGAGCTTGACGTGTAGGCCAGCTTTACGAATGCTCTTACTGTAAAAAAATACAGCGTGTCACAGTAGGCTGCAGCCTATGGCAGCAAATTTTAATGATAAAAATGTAAGATGCCAACTGCAAGAAGCAAAAACATGTAGATCTCAGGCGGCCCATGGGTGGCATGATCCTAAATGAGGCCCTGTGTGCAGTGCGTGTAGAGTGTGTTAATATTTATTTATCAGTACACTTTCAGCAAAAAATGGTTTACCTAGTTATAACCATCTATTTCTACCTACCAGTAAGTATCTACCTACAAGTATTATTGCTTTTTCTTTGGTATTACAAACAAACAATACGGTAAACAACAAGGTGTAAAAATCTACCTTAAAACGACTAACGAGGGAGAAATATTAATATTAAGTCAACATCAGCGCACTCAATAGTAACCAACTGTACTGACTAACTCATATAAAATCAGACTACAAACTAAAATATGTAGTTCTACATGATCATAAGTTTACTTACGTATGCTATGTCTCTAGTAAAAGTAGATGAGTGTAGTATGTCTCTAGTAGTATTGTCTCTAGTAAAAGTAGAGTTAGGTCATAGATTATTAGTATAACTGGGGGATGAAACTCAGTCATTCAGTGATTTAGTTTATTACTTTCTCCCCCTATAAATAACATATGGAGAAAGTATTGTTTTTGTCAGTTTTTCAACATTTTGGGTTTAAGTTTTTGGTGGAAACGTCCTTTTTGGGTCCCCCTGAACCTCAAAAAGTGGTTTTAGAAGTGATGTGTGTGTATAAAGGGCTACAAACAACACCTGCGGTCTGATTTTGATGAAATTTTGTATGTGGGCTTGGTACTAAAATCCATAGATAGTACTTACCTCCAGGCTTTTTTTGTTTTTTCGAAGTTTTTGTTTTGTATTGGTCATTTTCCTATTAAAACCCATAAAATTGGATTTTTACAATAATGGCATAGACGATTATAATTAAAATTTAGTAATCCTTTTAATTCTAAACAAAATGCTGTAAAAATACAGTCAAAAAGTTATTACAATTTTTGTTATCTACCACACTACGTATAAAGGGTGTTTTTTTTGTAAGCCCAACCCAAATTAAAAGTACTGTGAAACATAATTCAAGACAAAACAACCTTATTTGTTACCCCTGTTTTCTTTACTTCATTGCCCATTTTGTCATATATGGTATAAAAGTCCGTAAAAGTTACAAGTAGTCTGACTTAATCGGTTACCGTACTCAATCCACACCATAGTCTCTTTAGCTCATTTTCAGCTTGCTGATGCTGACAAATTTGATGCAATTCATCACTAAGGCAAAATTGCATCTCGTCACAAAAAATATCACATAAATAAAATGTAAACGTTACAATACCTACACTCTGATCAATAAAAGACCGCACTTTATCTTAGTTGCAAACTTCTAATTAACATCAAATTAATCCTGCTTTATTAAGATTGGAGATTTAGCATGAGCTAATCAACTGCTAATCTCAGAAAGGAACTGTGCAAACTTCTGTCATTAAACTTACAAGATAACCTAATTAGTTGTCTTAACTCGTAAATGTTTGGCTTGGTATATCGTGACCGAAATAAAACACCCAATATTATCCACCCAAACCCAATTATTTGGAACATTAATACTGTTTGGTATTCTTTATCGATAAATCACTGTGAAGTTACATCCCTTTATCTGTTTAGATCAAGAGATGTAAATTAAATTATTTACAGTATAAATTAGGAAATATAATCATAATCCTCATTGTTATTTGTGCCAAAGCTGAACAGTATAAATTAAATACATACATTACATTACATACCAAGTTCACACATTTGGTTTTCAAATTGAATATTATGAAATATACACCTTTTACTCAAGTCAAGTATCAAGAGATTGCTTGCAATTTGCAATTCAGCAAACAATTGTGTGTATAGTTTAGCTGTATTAATAAAGCAAGATTGTTGTTTTTCCAAACGTTAATTATTTATTAAAGTCAATTTATGGACTATCGGTTGTATCAGATTTAAAATGTTAATTTTACGATAAATCTGAAGCTGATTTTTGCTCACATTTCGTCATTCGATCACCAACTTTGGTTAGTTTGAAACATCTAAAGTTTGTTGTGTTTTGATTTTGTAGGCTACACCATAAGCAGCGAACACAGAATATCAATTACACATTATTAGTATTAACTTTTTTTCTGCACATTGCTCAGAATCAGGTTATAGGTTATTATTTATACATTTATACATTAAAGAAGCCGAGACAAGTCTCATCTCAATTTCTGGCTGTCTGTATGTCTGTCTATCACGGCCCAAGAGCCATTTTACGCGGCATTCTCCTGAAAAACAAGAGTACCTATCAAGATCCAAATCATTTTAATGTATTCACTGGATTGGCGAGAGTGTCTTAAGCTATTAAAATAAGGCCTCACTACTTTGTAAATAAAATTACGGACGTTAAAAACCCAATTTTGTGAGATTTTGTCAAGTTTTCTCCCAATGTTTATCACATAATCATCTATGAAATAACGAACAGCTGTTCGGATCAAGATTATTTTTTCTAGCTGTCTCTGATATGTTTATATTGAACGTTGTTCAAAGTATTACAGGTTACAGGTGTTATTTTAAAACAAATAACAGTCATAATTTCGGATGAGTTAAAAAGAGTCGACTATAAAGATTATGGAAATATTCACGATGTACATAACAGTTTGATATAATCAACATTTCTTGTTAATATCTTATCATTTTTCAAAAGCTGATCTTGTTTTTAGTGTTTTCTACAAATCCTTCCCACTCATCCACATTAGGTAGTCCCTAATAACGATTATAAATTCTAAAAAAAAAAAAAACATTATTTCTATTTCTTCTACTTGGTGGTGTTCTATGACTTTCCTATATTTCCATAGAATCAAATCGGCTCTTTCAATGATTGCTCAAGAAATGCAGCACAGAGTGTTAATTCAGTTTTCTTTTTAGTAATTGTCCAGGCTTTCTTGCTATTTTCCATTGCAATATTTATGCCAACCAAATTTCAAATAGTAAATATTTCATTTCAACCAAGTCAGTAAACGTTTGTAGCACACAATTTTTTTTAAATTGCAACTAAAATATTACCAGCAATTAAATTATCCAGCTGATAATAACGCAAACAAATATGTTCTTCATAAGGATAATATGGGAATTTTAAAAGCCACTGCCCAAGGACTTTTTCAAAAATGTAAGGTCAGTTTGCAAATCTACACACCTAGACGAACATTTTGGTATATAATATGTGGGGTTAAATCTTAAAACAAAAAAGCTTTATTGTTCACAAAGTTTCAAGTAGCGTATCAATATAGGTTGTGTTTGCTGGTTACACCATACGTTTTTTCGGGTTGTAATACAGTTAGATAAATGGTGGTATTGGGGGAAAACTTTACAAAAGAAGCAAGGACATGTTAACGGTGTGTGTTGTCAGAGTTTATTGGCTGGGTCAGATTTAGAGCGATTTTATCCGACATTCTTCTGGAGTTAGGTCCTTTCAAGATAACAAGCAACCTATAAAGAAGGGTCTTTTCCCACATTAACATATAACAAATAACACATTTTTACAGAAAAAAAGTTGTGTTTAATTTGTTTGTAAAAGCTCAAAATCATGGTCCATTCAAAAGTATTTTACCATAACATAAACAACACAATTTAAGTTAGCTGATATGGTAACAGATCTTTCCTGCTAGAAAATTTTTATGGATAAAAATAGTCAATGCTAAAGGGTTTGACATATATTTGTAAACTTGTATTTGCACATACTTACCCAAAATACTCGGTTTAAAATAATTTATACCATCTTCAGTACAATTAGGTACAATTTTCATACATCTTGAAAGTGAACTTTGACAATATTGAATTTTACGAGTTTGACAGATTTTGGTTGTTTGTCAACCTATAGATTTGTGGGTACAAAAAAGGACACGTAAAATCAGAAAATCTAACAAATGAGATGTCAACAGGAGTGGTTAGAAATTGAACGAGATCTCACTTCTTTGCAATTTCTACGCAATATACGAGTCATTGTGTGCCTCCAGTGATAGATGAAATCT